TTACACTACATTATGCAATTGACTTTGATGTCCTCTGAGGGTCCAATTCTGAGGTTTTAGGACCAGCAATTCATTTCTTCAAGGTGTTTGGTTATGATGAAGATGTTTACTCAGAGAACTCTGTGAATATTTACTGAAGAAAGTTATAAAGTTGCTAGTATTAAGAGCTTATTCCCCACCCCAAAAGTGGAAGCAGTGATTCTGAGCCTCTCTTTAGGCTTCTTTTCTTAGCTACCTGAATGGTAGCTCCCCAAAAGACGTGTTCATGTTCTAAGCCTCAGACCTTGTGATGTGACTTGGAAAAATGACCTTTGATAATATAATTAAAGGTCTTGACAGGAGACCATGCTGGATAGGCGCTGAATTCAATGTCAGTATCCTTGTGACGGGGGAAAGGGGAGAGCAGGGTCCTGCACTATCTTCAAGTTTGTTGGTGTGTTTGAGTCCACTGTTGTGGCTCTTATGGGTTTCGCCATCTTACTGAGGGAATCTATTGTTTTTGCTGACTCTCTTCTTTATTAAACACAAATTCTTTTCCTAGAAATTGGTCTTTCCTGATAATGTGTGCAAAGCAAGCAAATAGGAGTCTTGCCATCCTCACTTCTAAGGAATATTCTAGTTGCCTTTCTTCCAAGGGATATATATTCTAGTTGTATTTCCTCTGATTTGCTGTGTCTTTTGGAAGTCCATGGTTTATTCAATATTCTTCATCAATACCACAGTTGAATCTGTTGTTTCCTTTTTACTAACTTTCCCAAGTATATACAACTGAAAAGACCATTGGCTTAGGTGTACCTTGGTGATCACAGCTATACCTTTGCTTTTAAAAACTACAGTGGTCCTTTGCAACAGATCTGTCAAAAGACGAATTGGATTGGGGAAATCTACTGCCCGGGACCTTGCCAGAGTACTGAAGAGCAATGATGCCAGTATGGAGACTAAGGTGCACCTGATCCAGGCTGTGGTGTTCTTATTACTTGCTATGTATCAGGTATGCATAGAAATGAGATTGATTACATCTGCGGAAAAAAACACTGGAAAAGCTCAATATCAGCTGTGAAAACTAGGTCAGGAGCTGATTGTGGAACAGACCACCAACTACTCATATGCAAGTTCAAGCTGAAGCTGAGGAAAATTAAACCAAATCCACAGGAGCCAAAAATGACTTTGATTTCATCCCACCTGAATTTCAGAATCATCTCAGGAACAGGTTTGAGGCCTTGAACACTAATGAGCAAAGACCAGATGAGTTGTGGGAGGAGGAAGAAAAGACCAAAATGGATGTCAGAAGAAACTCTGAAGATTGCACTGGAGCGTAGAGAAGCCAAAGCACAGGAAGAATTCAAGATACTAAAGAGCTGAACAGAAGATTCCAAAGGGCAGCACGGAATGACAAAGAAAATATTACAATGAAATGTGCGAGGAGCTAGAGTCGGAAAATCAAAATGGCCGGACTCGTTCAGCATTTCTTAAGCTAAAGGAACGGAAGAACAAATTCAAATCTAGAGTTGCTATAATCAAGGATGCTTTAGACAGAATATTAAATGATCCAGGAAGTATTAAAAGAAGATGGAAAGAATATACTGAGTCATTGTATAGAAAGGAATTGGCAGACACAGAAGAATTTAATGAAATAACATTTGAGCAAGAGCCTATGGTGATGAAGGAAGAAGTTCAAGCTGCTTTGAAGGAAATGGCAAAAAATAAGGCCCCAGGAATAGATGGTATACCAACTGACATATTTCAGCTAACAGATGCTGCCCTGGATGTACTCACCAAGTTGTGCCAAGAAATCTGGAGAACAACCACTTGGCCAACTGACTGGAAGAGATGTATATTTGGTAGGAGAATTGAGTAATTTGAGTTGTGGTGATGAAGAAGAGTATTGAATATACCACAGACTACTTGGAGGACAGACAGGTTTATCCTGGAGAGGGTGAAAACAGGCTGCTCTTTGGAGTCAAAGATTCTGAAGCTCCATCGCACATACTTTGGACTTGTTTCAAGGAGGGACCCATCCTTGGAGAGGTTCATCATGCTTGAGAAGGTGAAGGTACAGCGCAGGAGAGAAGTCCTTGGATGAGATGGATTGACTCAGTGACTGGGATAATGGGTATGGGTGTGTCAGAGATAATGAGGTTGGGTCAGGACAGAGCAGAGTTCAGAGATGTTGTACATAGGGTGGCTAAGAGTTGCAAATGACTTGATGGAACTAACAACAACAATATATGACATTATGCTTTTATAAAACATTTTAAGTGAAACTCCTGCCAGATCAATCTCCAAACTAAGGGTCCTTCATCCCACAAGCAAGAATGACAGAGAGACCAAACTTGCCACACAAAAAGAAAGCATTTATTTAAAGAAAGAGTAACTTTGGGCAGGGTAGTTACCATGTTACCACCTAGAAGGTGCTATTTCACCACAGGCCACTCCCTGGATTTTCTAGTAATTGACCTTCATACTTGAAGGATTAACTTCTCTCTCACAATCATTTTAACTACTCATGAAAATGTGTAAAGTACTTCATGCCTTCATTTCTCTCCATTTCAGAAAGCGAATTTTTAATTTGACCATCTCTATTAAATTAGTACTTAGGAGACATGTATGCTCCTTTTTCTAAAGAATACTCCGTTTCAATTGGAACTTTAAGTGTCTACATCCATAAGCAAACTCTAGTCCAGAGTAAACCTCCAGATTGAACCCATTTATACTAGTTCCTAAGTGTAGTGTCTGGTTGGGTTCTGGTCAGCTCATCCCTAGCTATGGGCACCAGCTGTAAACTGCTCCACACATCTTCCTGAATTTCAGACCAGCTGGCACTTTTACTCTTTGCAGAAATCCTCATGACTTCTTAGACATTATACCAATAACCAGTCTTCCATAGCGCGTGTGTATGCTAAGTCAATGTATGATAATAGAAATGCCCAAACTCATCCCATCTCTTCATTACTTAGTCCTCCCTCTCCCACTCACGTAAGAGACCCAGGTGCTCACCATGAGCACGCATCTCAGGCTGCACAATTACCACCTCCTTTAACTTCTGGCCTTGTAAAGGTACTCTTGAGGGGCACTGGCTTTACTCATCCCAGCACCCTGGAAGATAGCATGCTCCAATCTGAAATATCTTCTCCATTGTGCTTTCAAGATTGCTGCATTTCACTAGGGCAAACTCCTTTTAAGCATATCCAATTAAGTACTGGCCAAAGGTAGAATCATATTGCGAATCAGTAGTAATTTCTAGCACATATTTTATATCACTGCATATAAGAAACATTCAATATCTATGAAATACATTCAGATAAATACACAAACCATAAGACATAACACTTTGAGAAATAACAAAAGTAACCATCTTAGTTGTGCTTTCCACATTTCTAGTTTCTTCTTCTCATAAGGCTCTATAGTTCTTCATCACTTCTGCTGCTGCCGCCACCGCCATCACCACTGCTGCTAGTCTCAGTCCCTGTCCGTCTCAGGCAGGAATCCCCAGCCCAGCTGGATGTGCTTCTTCTCCATTCTTAATGAAAACAAGATTCCTGTCTTCTGTCTCTAGACTTGCAAGACTAGCCTCATTAGTAATAAAAAGGGAATCAGGTACGCATTGTCCGTTTCCAGGACTGAGGTTCCTAGGATACCAGGCATCAATTAAGGCAATACAGCGCTGGTTACAGGTCTTCCTTGTTCTACTAACTCCAGGCCACCCCACAACTGTTAAATGCTTGGTACTGCTGGGTACTTTATACATGTTGACTTACTTAAGCTCCTACAGCAACCCTATGACTCTTTTACAGATGGGAAAACAAAGCTAAGAGAAGGAAACTGACCTGCCAAGAGACATATAAGAAGCAGGTGGGAGCCAAGATACCAAATGTGCCTGATTCCTAAAATCTCGTGTTCTCTCTTCTAAATCGGTCCAGTGGATGAAAAATTCCGTTTAGAAAGGGGAAAAGGCAAATACAAAACCTGAAGAGTGATTTCTGTATCATTTATTAGAGAAGAAACTGGTACAAAAGCTCTCAGAATGTCTTAAACTTCAACAAAACAATTCATGATTATCTCAGTGTTCCACAAGTCACGGTCGGTTTGCTCTAGGAACTCACAGTACCTGTCTGAGTGTGTGCCTATTAAAAAACAACGCAATGCAGTCAAGCGCAGGAGTTGAAAGAGCTTTAGACTAAGGATTCTTGACTCACAGAGGAAGTTCTCACAGCGGATCAGAGAAACCTTTTGGAAGAAGCAGCCCTCCAGAACTGAGATCTGATGAATGAGTAAACATTTGCCAGAAAGGTAGGAGTAACAAAAGCTTTGGAGGGACAAGACAAGCCATGCGTAGAGGTTAAGTACACAGGCATACCTTGCGTCCGTAGTCGTAACGTACTAGTTAGTGGCATGTGAAGGGAGGCGTGGACTTGTTCGTGGAGGAGCTCATGGGACAACCGACAGGTCTTTGATCTCGTTGTATCCTGTGTGGTGCCTCGCTGTTGAACCAAAAGCATCCCTTTTCAACACCTGTACACTGACCAGTACATATCTGAACAGCCAGCTCCTATAGAATCTCCACCCGCCACTGGAAGCCTGTTACCATGGCAACTAGGTCAGGGCGGAAGTGGCTCCCAAGACCGACTCTCACTAATCAGGTGACTCGCCTGCCTTTCGCACGTGACACCGGAGCTCACACTCGCTCACTACCTAATCAGACTCCACCCCTCTTCCTTTCAGTAACAATTGACAGCGACCTAGAGCAATGATCCTTAAGGTCCCATCGGTAGGCTCCTCCCTCTGGTAATAAAGGAACCAATTAGATAGAGAACAGAAGAAGCAACGCCCCAGATTTCACCCCAGTTTGACAGACGCAATTTAGGCCATCCTCGGGTTTCTCCGCCCCCAGCCTAACCGGCCGGCGATGGATGACAATTTTGCCCAATAGTACGCCTGTTAGATGTTGTTTGTGCCCGCCCCCACAAGAGTTGAGCCAATCAGCATGCCAGGTCTCGGCGGGGCTGGTGGGGGTTGCACTGCGGTAATATGGCTCTTCCTTAGCCAGCGGCGGCGGCGGTGGTGTCCAGTTGTCGGGTAGAGCGGTCCTACCTTTCGGGTGGCGGGGTTTCTAGGCTGTAGAGACTCGGAGGGTCGTGGCTAGAAGGTGTTGGCGGATGCCGGAGGAGCGGCGACTCCGCCGCTTGGCGGCCCCTGGGTCAAGATGAGCGGCTCAGCGTCGGTCGGGGCCCCTATTCCTCCGCTACCCCCGGGCCCGGCCACCGCGCTGCCTCCCGGTTCTGGCGCGCGAGCTCTGCATGTGGAGCTGCCGTCTCAGCAGGTAAGCCCGCGGGATCGCGGCTGTCTGGCGAGAGTGGGAGAAGGCCGGATGAAGAGCCCCTGTGGCACCAGTCTGATCGCATGCAACCCCTGAGACCCAGAGCAGTGACTGAGGAGAACTTAGGAATGAGGAAGCTTGACAGGAGAGTTTCTAAGGGGAGGGCATTCAGTGATGGTGAGCCTCTCTTTGGAAGATCTCCGTGAGAAGAAATCCGGTTACTGGAGCTGGACAGAATAGGAAGGGACCCAGCTAAACTCCCTAGGGGATCCGGCCTGAGTCCGTCTTTCTCTTTTGAGAGCTGGGGATTCCCTTGCGTAGATCTGCCTCCTTACTGCTCCTGCGAAGAGACGTGGGGAAGCCCGGCTGCACCTTGGGAGACTGAGAAAGAGCTTTTCTTTTCTCTCCTCATCCTTCACACCACCCTTAGGAAGAAGCTAGTTGGCATTTAACTACGGCAGAGTATAAGCGTGTCTAGCATTTACTTTTACTCTCTATTTTGAATTTATACCCTCAGCTTTTCAAGAGAAATGTGTTTGGGACTTAGAGATTTTCTTCTTAATTCTCATAACCCACCAAGGAACGCATTTTAACAATTTGGGGAAATCTTTTTCTGCCCATTCTCTTCAATGAAAATTTGTAGAGCTAGTATTTGATGTATTTACTTGTGTCTTCTGTTATTTACCAAAGAATTTTAAAGGCATCTTGGGACCACCTTGTACTGGGATAGTAAAGAGGGAATGCTGAGTTTGGGAAGCTGATAAAAATCTTCTCTTTCTCACACGTGCATGAGAAGATTTTTTCTGCTCTTATCCCTTACCCTCGCTTTGTCAGAGTAGACTTTGTATTAAAGAATGGTAAAGAGAATCCTTTGAATCCCTTCTGTCTTCCTTTTTCCAAGAAGAGAACCAAAGAAAATCCGTCAGTTTCTGAGACTTTCTCGTGACTGAAATGTACAAGATCCTCAAACAGGGATGAGCTCTTTTAGATCACAGATTTCTGGGAGATTTTTATTATCTCCATTTTGTAGTTGAGGAAAGGGAGATTCACTTGTAAAATCACTTGTCCAAAGCTTTACAGTTAATCCTTGAGGGAACTGATTTTCTGAAAACCAGAAGTCTGACTCCCCAGCCGGTTAGGGGTTGTTTTGCTTGAAACGTGAGTAACCTTTTCTCGGCTACCTTAATACAGAACCATTCCTGTCTTCCTTCCTGGCCTGTGGTACTGAAGGAAGGATTCACATGGAAGAGAGTAGAGATTAGGGGAGAGGATGGGAAGGAAATGGATGGGTTTTGAATATGGGAAAGTAGAGGAGAGGGCAAAGGAAAATGAAGAGCTGGAGATAACAGCAGCAGTTCTGGCTGTTGAGTTGGTAGGTACCCTAGAATGAATTTTCAACTCATAGCTAACCCCAAGTGGCAGTGGAACTGCTCCGTAGGATTTTCTTTCTTATATACTTTATAGGAACAGATTTACAGGTCCTCTCCGTCATTGCCCATGGATGGGTTTGAACCATCAGCTTTTATGGTTAGCTCCTGGCCACTTAAACCATTCTGTCATTGAGTTAAGTGAGCCAGATTGTTTGCCGGAACAAGACTTTTTGTGTTATTTTGAGTTTCAGAAAAGGATGTAAAAATGTAGGATAATATGAGGCTTCTTGGTTTTGTGGTGCTATTAGAAAGGAATTTTGTGGAGAATTGTACATGCTGTGAGGTTGTAGGAGAGGATGGAAGCCTAACTAGGGAGACTGGTCTGTGGCATTGTTAATGTATTTTTTTTTTTTATACATGGGGCTATATTCTGAGGGATCATGAGAGAGGCACTACTTTGCATATCTGGAGAAATCTTAAGGAGTTGAGGATCAAGGGATTTAGTTTGGGGGGCTTTTTAGAACATGTGGAATTTGGAAAGGGAAAATATGGCTTATTTCATAGAGATTGTTCTCTGAAAACAGTTTACACTTTAACCATGGGGGAAGTAATCCCAGACAACCGTCCATGGAATAAGTGGCACTGCATTTGTTAGTGTTTGTCAGATATTTGGATGGTTGCCGAGGGGCTTAAATGTACAGCTGAGTGTTGTATCAGTGCTGAGTGTGGGATTTGAAGCTTTCCGGGGGTGTCATCCTTCTTGAGTTCTTGGAAGGCAGCCCACCTAACAACACTTTTGTTTTGGCAGTTGACATGAATCAAGTGTTCTGGGTGAAAATGCTCAGGTTTTTAGCATTAAAATATGTAACATTTAAAAAGTGAATGTTTTTGTCAGAGTATTATCTGTATACAATAAAGTCAGTGACCCTTAGTATACAGCTCGATGAGTTACCATAAGGAGAACTTGCTTATGTAATTACTACCCAGATTAAGAAATATGGAATGTATAACAATGAAAGAACTTTTTTCCCCAAAGAAAAAAAGCGAACTGAGGGGGAAGGGGGCAGGGAGGAAAATGTGCAACAATGAGTGAATGGAAATTCAAGTTCTTTATAAACTTTTATAAAATCTAAAAAGAAATATGGAATGATTAGCATCCTAGAAGGACCCTGTTATGCAACCTTCCAGCACCACCTCTATTTTTTTTCCTATTCTTGAAGTTTGTATACATCAAATCATACAAGATGTACTCTGAGAGTCATAGTTCATATGTGTATATAAAAATGTCTTTTTCTGGAATTCATTGTCCTTTTTTGCTATGGCTTTTGTGATTCTTCAAAGGTTTAGTTAAATGGGAAAATCAATTAACTTTCTTAAATAATATCCTGAAAATAGTATTAATTTAAAAGAGCACCGTATTAGTTGGCAAGATATCACTGTTCCTAAACATATTAAGCTTGTTGATTTGGGATTTTTAAGATAAAGTTGATCATCTCAAGGCATGGCCTCAGTTTTCCCTGGTGTACTTTTTAAGGAGGGTTTCTCAGTCATAGCACTCTTGGATAATTTCTTGTTGGAAAGGGGAGCTGCTATACTGTGTATTGATTATAAGATGTTAAGCTGAGTTCTTCAGTCAGTGTTTGAAGTACCTTGCCTTTTTTTTCAACTGAGTTGAAGAATTGTCATCCCTATCTGTTATATGTGTTTTCTGTTGCTGGACTATATAAAGAAGAATGTGGCATCAGGTTTGGAGGAAGATGCATCAACAATGTGTGTTATGCAATGACACAAACTTTCTTGCTGAAAGTGTAAAGGACTTGAAACAATTACTGCAGAAGAGAAAAGACTACAGCTTTCAGGATGGGCTACATCCCAACATCAAGACAACAGAATCCCCACCACTGGATCAGCATTGTGATAGATGGAGAAAAGACTGAAGTTGTCAATAGTTTCCTTTGTCTTGGATCCATAATCAATACCTGTGGTAACAGCAATCAAATAATTTTAAAAAAAAAGCAACGTTACACTGGGAAAATCGCTGTCATGGATCTCTCCCAAAGTGCTAAAGAGTAATGATGTCGATTTAAAGACTAAGGTGTGTTTGATCTAAGCCATGTCTTTTCAGTTACTCCTTATGCATCTGAGAGTTAGACAGTGACTAAGGATGATTGAAGAAGCATCTATGCTTTTGAGTTGCAATGTTTTTTTTTTTCTGGACTTCCAAAAGAACAAACAAGTCTATCTTGAAGGAAGTGCAACCAGAGAGCAAATAGAGGCAATGGTAAAATTTTATCTCACATACTTTGGGCATGTTGTCAGGAGGACACCAGTCTTTAGGAAAAGACGTCATGCTGGGAGAGGTGGAGGGTCAGAGAAAGACAGGAAGACCCTCAAGAAGATGGAATGATACAGTGACTGTACAGTGGGCTTACCATTAGATGGTATGGATGGTACAAGATAGGACAAGGTTCAGATCTGTTGTTCTTAGGGTCGCTATCAATTGTAGGCTGCTTGATGGCCCTTAACAACAACAAGGAGCTGTCCTCAATCTGCTCGATAACAGCAGCACTCCTCCCCTTCCCCTTCCAGTCCTGACGATCAGAAATGACTCGTCTTACGATCGGAAATGACTCTTGTTACTAGGTGCCTTCAAATCTACTCTGAATCATAGCAGTCCTGTGTACAGCAGAACGCAGAATGAAATCCTACCTCATCTTGTGCTATTGTTGTTTTTCAGTGCCACTGAGGTGAGTACCACTCATAGCAAACTTACGAACAACAGATCTGAGCCCTGTCATATCTTGCTCCAGTCTTACCATCCCTAACACACTTGATCCTATTGTTGTAGACACTTTTACAGTCCATCTTGTTGAGAGTTTTGTTACTTTCGTGACCTTCCACTTTCCCAAGCATGATGTTTCTTTCTAAGGAGGAGCATCTCCTAACAACATCAGTTCAGATCTGTTGTTTACTATGAGTGATGCTTGACTTAATGGCCTGACAACAACAGCATGTCCAAAGTACATGAGATGAAGCTTTGCCATCCTTGCTTCCAAGGACCACTCTGATTGTACTTTTTTCCAAGACACATGTGTCTTTTTCCTTTGGCGATTCACGGATAGTCAGCCCTCTTCTCTGATGCCACAACTCAGAGACATCAGTTCTTTTCCTGTCACCCCTATTCATTACCCAACCCTCAGATGCTTAGCAGGTGATTGGAAAGATTACGACTTGAATTACGCACAGTTTAGTCTTTGAACCACCCTCTTGTCCTGAAGACACTGCCAGATGTCCCTAAATGAAAAAAAAACAAAAAACAAAAAACAAAAACAAACCAAAAAAACCCCAAAATCCATTGCTGTCTTAATGGAACTTGACTGCCTCCAGTCTTCTGTGGAGTAACTAGTAGATTTGAACTGTCAAACTTTTGGTAAGCAACCCAACACATAACTCACTACATATATCATCAGGTCTCTTTTTAGAGTCCTTATTTTAAAGGAGATTTTCATTTTTAGATAGAAAGTGTCCCTGCTGGAATATGTTCATTTGTTCTGATCCTCATGAGGTCCTGTTGAATCTGAAAGTGTTAATGTGTAAGATACTAATTTAACATATCCCCTGCTGTCAAGTCCA